ACATTCCTGAAAGGAAAAAATATGATATATATAATGAGTAGTTTTTAGGTAAGAGAAGAAATGGAAGACCAAACATGTTGCAAATTGGAGAACGATACGAGAAACATGGGATGAAAAAAACAAAAAGAAAATGAAGCAATGGAAAAATGAAAGGAAAAAAATAAAGTTAAAAAATAAAATATGACCTGTTTTTGCAATTCAGGGGGCAACATTTGACAAAGATCTTCCTGGCATACATTAGAAAAGATCTTCCCGGGTTAATTTGACAAGCTTTCCTGGCTACATTAGACAAAGCTCTTCTGGAATACTTGACAAAAAATCTTCCTGGAAACATTACCAAAGCATCTTCCGGCTACATACAAGTCTTTTTCCCGGCATAATACCGCATCTTCTGGCTTTCAATAACAGCATCTTCCTGGATTTTTACACGCATTTCCCGGCTACAATACACGATCTTCCTGGCATACAAAACACAGCTCTTAATGGCATACTTACACAGATTTACTGGCATACTTACACAGATTTTCGGTATACTTACCAAAGCATCTTCCTGGCAAATTAACAAAGCATCTTGGGATACTTAACGCATCTTTTCCCGGTTAAAATTAACAGCATGTTCCCGGGATCTTACACAATCACTTCCTGGTTCATTACACCCAAAACATCTTCCGGGGATATTTTTACCGCTCTTCCGGCATACATTAAAAGCATTTTCCTGGTTAATTAACAAAGCTTTCCCGGCAAAAATTAAAAAAGCTCTTCCCGGATAATTACACAAAGCTCTTCTGGCATAAAATTTCACAGATTCTTGGGAACATTTAAAAGCATCTTCCTGGCATACATTTCACAAAGCATCTTCGGGTACATTCACGCATCTTCCCGGCTATTTTCACAAATCATCTTCCTGGCATACATTACACGCATTTCCTGGCAAAAATTTTAAAATCTTTCCTGGCATACATTTCACGCATCTTCGGCATAATTTACAGCATCTTCCCGGAATATTATACAGCTTTCCTGGCTACATTACAAGATCTTCTGGCATAATTTCAAAGCTCTTCTGGCATACACTAACAGCTTTCCGGGGATACATTACACAAAAATCTTCCCGGAATATTACAAAAGCATCTTCCTGGCATACTTTCAAGCACTTCCTGGCTACATTTCACAAATCACTTCTGGAATACATTTAACAAAGCATCTTCTGGCATACATACAAGCTCTTTGGTAATTACACAGATCTTCCTGGCATACAATAACAGATTTACTGGAAAAAATTACCGCATCTTCCTGGCATAATTAATAAAGCACTTCCTGGATACATTAACAAATCATCTTCCTGGTATACATTTTCACAAAACATTTCCCCGGCTAATTACACAGCATCTTCCCGGCATACATTACACAATCCCCTTCCCGGCAACATTCACAAATCATCTTCCTGGTATCATTACACAAAACTCTTCCGGGTACTTACACGCATTTCGGCATACTTACACAAAACATTTTTCCCGGCTACTTACACAAATCATCTTCTGGTATAATTCCAAAGCTTTCCTGGGATACATTACCAAAGCATCTTCCTGGCTACATTACCAAATCATCTTCCCGGTATACTTACCAAAGTCTTCCAGGCTAATTGCACGCAACTTTGGGATACATTACACAGCATCTTCTGGCATACATTAAAAAAGATCTTTCCCGGGTACATTGCACAAACAATTCCTGGAACATTACACGCATCTTCCCGGCATACATTCCAAATCATCCTCCTGGCTTTAATTACACACATCTTTCCCGGCATACATCCAAATCATTCCTGGATTTCATTACACAGCATTTCCCGGCTACACACACAAATCATCTTCCCCGGGAAATTACACGCATTTCCTGGCATCATTACACAGCATCTTCCTGGCTTCATTACAAGCATTTCCTGGATTCATTAAAAGCTTTCCTGGCAACTTACACAAATCATCTTCCCGGTAAATTCACAAGCATCTTCCTGGGGATACATTCACAGCATTTCCCGGTATACATACACGCATCTTCCTGGCATACATTACACGATCTTCCCCCGGCTACATTACACGATCTTCCTGGCATACAAACACGCATCTTACTGGCATACATTACCAAGATCTTTGGCAAAATTACAAAAGATCTTCCTGGCAACATTACACGCATTTATGGCATAATTACCGATCTTTCCGGAGTTTACCGGGGGAGGTTTGGGGGTCAACGCCCCCCCGGCCCGGTCTGTGACCGGCTCCTGGTGGGTCAGCGCCTGATCAAACCGGCTGTTGTGCTGGCTGCACGCAAAAAACGTCGAGCCACGCCCGGTGATAGGAACTGTTTTGGTGCTTGTCCGTGCCAGCTTGAAGACTGCCAGGGGGGCTGTTGGGAATCCCCCTTATGTGTGCTGGGGGCGTTGAAAAGTCTCGGTCCCCTGACATTATTTTTGGTCTCTTTGTGTAGTGACACCCCCGCTTTTCATTGGGGGGATGGTGCATGTCTGAAGTCTTTTGCTTTCGTAGTGAGTGATTTTCGTGTGCAAGGTTTGGTACTTACTTTACATTACACATTTTAAAATTTACATTACACAAAAATTTTCCCGGCATATATTACACACATCTTCCGGCAAAATTAACGCATCTTCCGGCATCATTAACAAAGCCCTTTCCCGGCATCATTAAAAAAAGCATCTTTCCGGTATATTACACAAAAAATCTTCCCGGCAAACTTACACGCATTTCCTGCATACATTAACAGATCTTCCGGTTTACATTTCAAAAGCATCTTCCCGGCATAATTCACGCATCTTCCCGGCATCATTACACAAAGCATCTTCCTGGCATACTTCACAAAACATCTGCCCGGCATACATTTTACAGCATCTTCCCGCTACATTTCACATCTCTTCCGGATACTTACCAGTTCTTCCCCGGCAAATTATGCAAAAAATCTTCTGGCTACATTATGCAAATCATCTTTTTTGGCATAATTACCAGCATCTTCCGGCATAAATTACCAAAAAAATCTTCCTGGCATACATTCACAAAGGGAACTTCCTGGCATAATTTTCACAGCATCTCCTGGCATACATTACACAAAGCATCTTCCTGGCATACATTATTCAAGATCTTCCTGGGGATACATTCCAGTATCTTCCGGCATAATTTCACAAGCATCTTCCTGGATACATTTACAAAGATCTTCTGGCATACATTAACAGTACTTTTTGGATCATTAAAAAAAGCATCTTCCCGGCAACATTATACAAAGATTCCTGGCACATTCACAGCATCTTCCGACATAATTACACAAAGCTCTTCCCGGCTCATTACAAGCATCTTCCTGGCATACATTACACATCTTCCTGGCCCTACTTACAAGCTCTTTAAGGCAAATTACACCCGCTCTTCCTGGCTTTAAATTTCCGGCATTTTCCCGGCTACATTACACAAAGCTTTTTCCTGGATACATTTTACAGTTTTTCTGGCATACTTCACAAAGCTCTTCCTGGCTACATTACACAAAAGGGGATTTCTGGATACATTTCACAGCTCTTCCCGGCATACTTACACAAACATCTTCCTGGCTTATTACACAAAGCATCTTTCCGAATTTCTTAAAGATCTTCCTGGCATACATTTCACAAAAGCATCTCCTCGCATACATTACACAAAACATTTCTGGCATACATTACACAGCATCTTCCTGGATACATTACACAAAACATCTTCCTGGATTATTACAAAAGCATCTTCCGGCAAACATTACCCAGCTCTTCCCGGGATACATTTAAAAGCTTTTTCCCGGCATACATTAGACAAAGATCTTCCCATAATTTTTTCAAAGCTTTTCCTGGATAATTACACGCATCTTCCGGCATACATTACACAAAGATCTTCCCCGCATAATTAACAAAGCTCTTCCCGGCATAATTACACAGCATCTTTGGCATAATTACATAAAAATCTTCTTGGATACATTACACAAAAATCTTCCTGATTGTGGAAGTTTTTTTATATGCTTTTCAATTTACCTCAAGTATAAAAGGCAATATGGGAGCTAGGGTGTCCGTGAAAAACTTACGATGCTGCAAGGATGAAAGGACATCTTCACTGGATATGTTTCAGTCCTGGGACCTTGGTCACTCCAAGTGATACAAAAAAAATGAGACTGCACAGTATGTATATATAGTGGAGAATGTATGTCATTGGTAATGATCAGGTGGTATGAGTTCATCTAACTGCTGTCACATTGCAGCTGAGAGGCATGCAGCAGTATCATGTGTGCCAGTCGTTGATATGATATCTTTGCCAGCTCTTCATTCTAAGGTGTTGAAAGCAACAATCAAGAAGGCTTCAATACAGAGGTATCTGGCACACATGATAGTGCTACGTGCTTCTCAGCTGTTAGCTGCCATGTGATGTAGCAATTAGATGACTCCATGACTTCACCTGACCACCACTGACTTCCATTCTCCACTACATATATGTACTATGCTTTCTCATTCTCTTGTACAGTATTATTTAACCAATGTCCCAGGAATAAAATGTATCCAATAAAGATGTCCTTTTGTCCATATTTTTTGTATCAATATGTGTTCTACTACTGCTACTAACTACCACTATTAGTAATTTCACTACTACTACTGCTGCTCCCTCCTCCCACTCTATCACTTCCATCCCCCACCCCCTCTAGTAGAGTAAAGTTTATTTCTTTGTAAAGGTAAATACTCTGGCTCCCTTCCCTTTGTGCTTCTATGTATGACTTGTTAATGGTTAAAGCCACACTGGAACATCATAAGTTTCAGTCTCCTATATGTGAGTTATCTGTGTAATGTTCCAGCCATGGTACTGCGCCTTTTTATTCTTTATTGTGCTCTGCCTGATGGTGCAGATAACTTCTGAGGCTCATAGCTAAATGTTCATTAAAAAAATTAACAATTTGCATGAAACTAAAAAAATAAATAAAACACATAGATAACCCACCAGAAGACTGAATGTGAGTTTTTGCATCACCCTGCACCAGTGATGGATGGCAGCCGACCAGAAAGTACAACGAGAAGTTCTGGCTACAGCATCCTGAGCCACAGGCATAGGTCCCAGTAACACTCTCATTCTACTTTCATCATCCCATTCAGGTGGGAAGTAGTCTCTCATGCTGTCCATTGATGTAATTCTCCCCTCAAAATCTGAAATACATGTCACTTGAATAAATATCTGAAGGTGTTGGGCAAGCATGTACCTATAACCATTCACAAATAACTGGGTGCACATTGTACTGCACATTTTGCATGCAATAATCCTACTTCTGATCAGTTTTACTGTGCTATGTCAAATTATCAGTAGAACTTCTTTGCTCAATTGTATTGCAATTGCTTATTTTCCTTTGCTACCAATCAAAGCAAAGAAGTAAATGAAAAATGTAAATAGACATTAGAATAGTTATGCATGCACATGCACACACACGCATGCATGCACACATGCACAAACACAGGAGGGCATCAGCGAGTCGTGGTATGTGACAAGGTGTCAGAGTGGGCGCCTGTGATGAGCAGGGTTACACAGGGGTCAGTCCTAGGACCGGTGATGTTTCTGGTATGTGTGTGTGAATGACATGACGGAAGGAATAGACTCAGAAGTATCCATGATTGCAGACGATGTGAAATTAATGAGGGGAATTCAATCGGAGGAGGACCAGGCAGGACTACAAAGGGATCTGGATAGGCTGCAGGCCTGGTGCAGCAACTGGATCCTGGAATTCAACCCCACCAAGTGCAGAAGTCACGAAGTTCGGGGAAGGGCAAAGAAGATCGCAGACAGAGTACAGTCTAGGGGGCCAAAGACTACAACCCTCACTCAAGGAAAAAGATCCTGGGGTGAGTATAATACTGAGCACATCTTCTGAGGTGCACATCAACCAAATAACTGCTGCAGTATATGGACACTTAGCAAACCTAAGAATAGCATTCAGACATCTCAGTAAGAAACTATTCAGGATTCTGTACACCGTGTATGTCAGGCCCATATTGGAGTATGCAGCACCAGTTTGGAATCCACACCTGGCCAAGCATGTCAGGAAATTAGAGAAAGTGCAAAGGTTTGCAACGAGCCTAGTCCTGGAGATAAGGGGCATGTCCTATGTGGAGAGGTTAAGGGAAATCAACCTGACAACATTGGAAGACAGGAGGGATGGGGGGGATATGATAACAACATATAAAATACTGAGAGGAATCGATAAGGTGGACAGAGACAGGATGTTCCAGAGATGGGACACAGCAACAAGGGGTCACAATTGGAAGTTGAAGACTGAGACGAGTCAAAGGGATGTTAGGAAGTACAGGTCTCCCTCAACATTCGCGAGGGTTAGGGGATCAAGAGCCTCGCGAATGTTGAAAAACCGTGAATGTTTGGTCCCCCAATATATTGTAGGGAAATATATTACAATACTGCTTCCTTAACTTGTTGAACCATGAATAATCATAAAATACATGAAAACGTCGTAAATTGTACTAAATATATACATGTTATGCTTTAATAACATATGTTATTTAATAACATGTATGTTAATAACATGTATGTTATTAAATACCACTGCCTCCACCAATGCCTCCACCACTTTGAGTCCCTACTATCCTCCCTCCGACCCCCACAACTGGCAGCCAGCCCTTCCACCACTCAGTGTGGTGAGTGTTTTGTTTGTTCATTATTTGCTATTAAACTACAGAATAAATAATGTAAACCCATTCATGACTGCATATTGGAATGGCTATTAGGAAACGTATTAGACGGTGACATCATGTGTTTACTCTTGAACACAGCAAAGAATCGAACATTTCTGCTATTGCTAATAATAACAATAGTAATAATAATAATAATAATAATAATAATAATAATAATAATAATAATAATAATAATAATAATAATAATAATAATAAATACGATATAATTGAAGAAGGAAATTGTACAAAAATACGAGGGAGTGGTTGACACATCGTCAGTGTGACTTTGTTTATGCTGGAGTGAACATTAGTCTCCCTGCTCTTCCAAACATTTCACAATAATTCAGCGGTTGAGGCAGTGGTATTTAATAACATATTTATTTATTATTTATTTATTTATTTATTAACAATTTGAGCATACATACAGAGGTACAAAAAAATACAGATAAGAGCAGCATGCCAAAGCCACCAATATTCAATACACTAAACCTACTCACCATACAAAACATCCATACTTATTACTGCACCTATTACATACATAGAACACTTAACTCTGATATTAACCCTCCCCTCAAACATCTCCTTGCCAACCTCAACAGAACACATGACCATAACACAAGGCACAGATCACTCTTTGATGTTCCTCGTGTCCATCTCACACTATGCAAAAACTCAATGCACATAAAAGGCCCTAAAATCTGGAATTCATTACCTGTAAATATAAAAGAAACACTACCTGTTTATAAATTCAAGTCTCTTCTCAAAGATCACTTACTCACCCAAAACCAAATAAATACTGAATAACTGAACCTTATAAATTGTATATCTTAAATGTTTCTCACAATTATATCACATAAATATTAAACCTAAAACCCAATCTAACTTTATTATTTTTTAAATACACTACCTAACAGAATACTCCATTCGACTGAATGTACAACAATGCATGCAACCATATGACCTGTCTTTGTAATACTCATTTGTGCCTTATAGTTATCTGTTTACAATAATGTATTATCACTGATTTCATCATTGCTTAGTTAAGTTTAATCCAGCCCGAAATGCTATTCATAGTATTTATTTATTTATTTATTTATTTATTTATTTTTATTTATTTCCAATTTGAGCACACATACAGAGGTATAAAAAAATACAGATAAGAGCAGCATGCCAAAGCCACTTATACTATGCATAGCATTACGGGCTGGCTTAAAATTAACTTAAGATTAACTAAGCAATGATGAAATCAGTGATAAAACATTAATGTAAACAGATTACTATACAGCACAAGTGAGTATTACAAAGACAGGTCATATGGTTGCATTCAGTCATATGAAGGATTCTGTTAGGTAGTGTATTTAAAAAATAATAAAGTTAGATTGGGTTTTAGGTTTAACATTTATGTGATATAATTGTGAGAAACATATATGTTATAAATAATAATAGTACATGTTATTATTAATAACATGTATTATTATTAACATGTATGTATTTAATAACATGTTATAAATAATAATAGTACATATTATTATTAACATGTATTATTATTAACATGTATGTTATTAAATACCATTGCCTCAATCACTGCCTCTACCACTCCAGTCACACTCAATCTACAAGCACCAAACACAATGAATTATTGTGAAATGTTTGGAAGAGCAGGGAGACTAATGTTCACTCCAGCATAAACAAAGTCACACTGACGATGTGTCAACCACTCACTCGTATTTTTGTACAATTTCCTTCTTCAATTATATCATATTTATTATTATTATTATTATTATTATTATTATTAATATTGTTATTATTAGCTGTAGCAGAAATGTTTAATTCTTTGCAGTGTTCAAGAGTAAACACATGATGTCACCGTCTAATACCTTTCCTAATAGCCATTCCAATATGCAGTCATGAATGGGTTTACATTATTTATTCTGTAGTTTAATAGCAAATAATGAACAAACAAAACACTCACCACACTGAGTGGTGGGAGGGCTGGCTGCCAGTTGCGGGGGTCGGAGGGAGGGTAGTAGGGACTCGCAGGTGATGGGAAACTTAAATATGATTTGGCGGCTGGGAATTTGGTGGCTGGGAATTTGGCAGTTGGGAATTCGCGAATGTGTGAAGCCCGTGAAAGTTGAAAACGTGAATGTTGAGGGAGACCTGTACTATTTCATCAGTCATCGAGTTGTCAGGAAGTGGATAGTCTAGAAAGTGATGTAGTGGAGGCAGGATCCATACATAGTTTTAAGATGAGGTATGATAAAGCTCATAGAGGAGGAAGAGAAAGGACCTAGTAGTGACCAGTGAAGAGGTGGGGCTAGGAACTATGACTCGACCCCTGCAACCACAATTAGGTGAGTACCAGAGAAAATGTGTACACAATGGTATTACTGCGGGGTAATTGTCAAAAATTATTCCTTACGTATGCCTTCACTTGTAGCTATTTATTTATTTTCTTGCACTAACGTGAAGACAACTTGTACATAGTGTAAGTGTGTTTGTATTGTGGGGTAAATACTTTGCAAACTCATGCCATTGTGTGTGTTTGAACCAAGAGTGGATAGGTATTAATACACATTTTGTCTGACTCAGTGACTGCTCCCAATTGTCTGACTTCTGCATCAGTAAGTTTATTCAGGCACAGGTAAGCAAAAATACAGTTACCTAGATTAAGTTAATTTTAAGCCTGCCCATAGTGCTCTGCATACAAGCAGCTTTTGCCATGTACACCCAATCACTATATTTCTTTGTACAACTATGTATCATGTCCAAATAAAAAATAAATAGAATAAATAAATAAATCATACATAGCAGCTTATGTGTGGATAACCTAGGATAACCCCCAAAAAAGTAAAAGTGACTTATTTCCAATGGTATTTAAGGGTAGTTGTTAGAAACTATTAAACTCGGAGAACAAGGTATGTCGATGGTAATAATAATAATAATAATAATAATAATAATAATAATAATAATAATAATAATAATAATAATATAATAAATATAAAAATATAATAATAATAAAATAATAAAAATAATAATAATAAATACAATAATTGCTGTGAGGCACTTTAAATTTAAGTTGCAAATTTAGTGTAGATTTAGTGGGTGGCAAGCTGCTACACCTGACTTTCTATAATAAATACTCACCTCTCACCCTACATTAAGACTACAAATATTTTAAGTTAAGTAATGAGTGTACTGTATATGTATTTTATCACTCTGGGGAGCTTTAAATGTCATATATTACCTGTAGGTGTTGTAGCCGGGTGGACTACCGCACCTGGCTTTCAATAATAAATACTACTCACCTCTTACCCTACATTAAGACTACAAATATTTTAAGGTAAGTAATGAGTGTACTCTGTGTGTATTTTACTTATTGTGTTTAATGCCTAGTTCTATTTCTAACGTAATATATGTTTGTGTAAACTCGTTATCTGGTATTTATATACATTTATAAGTGGGAAAAATGGCATTCCGCTTTACAGCAAT